ATAGCTTGCAAACGTTAAACAAATTATCCTAGTTTCTGATATTACTATTCAACTTAATTAAGTGCTTCCTCTATCAAAACAACTCTCAAAGAAAGTAGTATCTGTGATACCTACAGATAATTTTAAAAGGTTTTTGAAAAATCAAATATGATACGGGAGTTAATGGTCGGGAAAATAATGAAATCCACTTTCAAACATTTAAAGATCTCCATGACATTAATTTAAAAGCAACAATCTGAAGGAAGAATAATCTTTTCAGTAAACTGTTATCGCGTTCTACAATTATAAAATACCTATGTACAGCGTAAAATCAAGCAGAGTTAGGAGTAAATACATGGTTCGAGTCCGGTCGCGGTTCAGATTTTCATCTCCTCTTCAACCATCACCCAGTATAAATACTAGTCTGTCAAACTACGGCTATCTCAGATAATCAAATGATAATCAATATGATGCTCACTGTCCTCTCTAATCCACTTAGATTGGGATTGAGATAAGTCCTAAATAGGCAGCATATGTGAATACGATCAAGCGGTAGTAACGCATCATAAATTCACATGGTAGTCGAGCAAAACAGTTGGTAAATGAAATGAAATAAAAATCTGGTTAGCAGTTGGACCTCATAGCTCAGTTGGTAGAGCACTGGTCAGGGAACCCTGTGGTCCCTGACTGGAATCTGGTCGCGGTCCAAATTTTCATCTCACCTTCAACCATCACCCAGTATAAGTACTAATCTGTCTCAGAGAGTAGAATGATAACATTTAAGGACTGTAACTAAATCAATTTTTCACTTCTAAATCTGTCACTGTTGGGGTGATTGACATATATACAGATGAATAATCTGATGGGGATCAAAAAGACCTCGAGGAACGAAGACAGGAGCGGTCTTGAAATTACTAAAGGCCAGTGAAGGAATATTGCTTGGACATAAACTTGGAATACGATGTATAAAACCGAAAGCTTTATTAGGGCGCATATGATGCTCTGTGTCTACTAGGTACGCTGAGACGGAACCTCTCACCACTTTCACTTCGCCTTTTCTGAATCAAGCTAGTAAATGCTCTTGTATCCTCAGACACACCTGTTTAATCGTACATCCTCTATAACATATTCCACAGGAACAGCTGAACTGATATGTGGAAGATGAAGAGTTAGGATTAGGTTGACTATTCTTTAGTCTCAGAGTGAGCACTGGCCAACTACTGGAAGGTATGCGAACCTAGCCTACATAAAACTGTTTATTTCAACCGAAACCAAGTGAGTAAATTTATCTGTTCTGTTCAGTGCGACAGAACCTTTCACAAATCGCCACAAAAGTTCAGTTAACTACGTAGCACTATTATATCAAAAAGCTGTCAAATTTTTTCACAAACTTGTTCTTCATCAGATTATAAACATCTGAGTCATAGTTGTTACGAATGTTCTGAAAGAAGTTGAGCGCCGAAGAGGCTGCTGAAGAAGCTGTGGCATGCACAGTGGAACGTTCAGAAAAATCTTGTTTTCAATTTTCTAAACATACTGGGATTATACTGAAACTTACCTTTATGACTGTTCTTTATCAGTTTACTTATTTTTCGTCAAAAACAGGCATGCCAGTTCATTTTTTTTCAGAGGTTATTTACAGTCCTCGAAAACCGTATAGATTTACTGCATTTATAAACTACAATCCTTTTGTCGATGTCAGTCAATTATTTGCTGTTACACAGTGATGAGCGGAATCAATTTGCATTCTTAAACCTCATTGTTACTCTATTGTGCCAGTCCCTTTCATTTTTGAAAATCACTGAAATCCTTATCAACAACGATATACATTTTGTTGCTTTTCAAAATGGGAACAACATCGCTCACTGAGAGGCAGATAAGTTCAGCTGACGAGTCCTAAATAGGATGAGACGCGAGTCCTGGATTCCACTGCTAGCCGCTTATCCACCGTTAAAGGTGTATATACCTAAATTTATCAAAAATTTCACAGCTATAAAGTATAACCACCTCAATGTGTATTCAAACTAAGTTTTTGAAAAGAAAAATACGCAAGTCATTAGTTGTATAACTTGATTGTAGTGAAGGTTTTCAGTTTATTTCGAGTTAACTCATGAGCTAAAATTGCCTAACGTGAACAGCCAATCCCCTGGAGGATTACTTCCCATCGAATTATATCAAAGCCTTCAGTAATGAATCCTCTTTATTCGATCATTTTTAAAGTGGTTTGTTGATCACAGTCGCTTAGGGCTGTCCTAGAGAGATAACAAGCTACCTTTTTGAAAAAGTGCTTCACTTTCTTAACGAGACTATTAGCTCCACACAAATTACGCTTAGCGATTTCTCTTCAAGTACTTCAACTGTCTTATATAAGATACAAAACTGTTCAGTTTCACCTACTTATTATGGTACCTCATAAACTAAGAAAACCAGATGATAAGATAATGGTAAAGAAAACAGTAACGGATTATCAAACATATTGACTTGTCTCTGCAAAGCAATCAGTTTCACGTTGTCTAGTCTTGAGTGCTGACCTAGTTCCATTGATCATTGTAGCCACTAAGGTAGGAGGCTCAAAAACGTGGTGCAGTTTGATAGATACTGATTGGTTAGGGGCAATCTAGAGGAAGCCGTGCCCAAACTAGGCCCCGTGCTTTTTGGTACTCGTCAGCAGCGCATATCTGCTACGTTGACAGAACTGGTGTCTCTTCCGGGATTTGAACCAGCGTTACCCAGTGTTACAGTCAGACATGTTGCCACTGAGTTATTCAAGCCGTGGTTGATTATCAAGTGGCTTAATCATATCTATCTAGAAAGCAGTGATAATCAAATACAGTTTTCTTCATGATATGTATCAAATTATAAGTTATGCCACCAAGCAACTCACTTCACAAAACAATGTCCTGTCTGTTTGCATTGTTGCTCTATAGAGAACATTAGGTTGCTTCATCAAAAAATCGGGATGGAAACCATACCACAAATGTTTATTAATATTTAAGATGTTTTAATAGTAAGTAAGGTGAAGTGTCTATCACATGTGATATTTCTGATTGTAGTGGACTGGATTGTGCAACAAACAGTGAGGAGCGAGAAGAGGGAGATACTCTGGACCGCAGAAAAGAACCTAGAAGATTTGGATTTCGCCGATGACTTATGTCTAATGTCACACAAACTTGAAGATCTACAGGCAAGAATTAACAAGTTGACAGAAGAGACAGGGCAGAGAAGACAGAGGTGATGAAGATATCCAACCAACATCACCATTAACAACAACAAGAAGCTCCAATCACTATCGACGGGAGAAACTTAAAGGAAGTAGCCTCCTTTACCTCTCTAGAAAGCACTGTTTCAACTACAGGCGGTGGCACAGACGAGGATGTCGAAGGCAGCCAGGATCGGAAAAGCAAAACAGGCTTCCATTAGTTTGGAACCAGTGTGGAGATCTGCACTGCACTGCACTCAGCATGTGGAACAAGATCCAGATTTTCAGCATCAATGTCAAGTCAGTGCTCCCGTATGGCTCAGAGACTTGGCGCGTTACGAAAGGTATTTCCAACAAACTACAGATATTCATCAACAAATGCTTACGCTCGTTGCTGAAGCTCAGATGGCCAGAATAATAAGAATGAGCAACAAGGAACTGCGGCCTGCTAACGAACCAACCAAGAACCTATTACCCAAAAAATATGCAGTGGAAGGAAGTGGAGATGTATTGGGCATGCACTGAGAAGGCCGACTGGGGACATCATTCTCCAGACCGTTGAGTGGAACCTAGGTGGGGAAAAGACGATTTGGGGGTCCGAGGTGAGGGTGACATGGAGGAGATCATATGAGGAAGAAATGAGAGCTTTTGGTCTATCGTGGAACCAGATTCAAAATTTTGCATAGAACATAGTGCACTAGAGACGTGCTACTGAAGACCTATGTTCCATTAGGAACCCAGGAGACAAATAATAATAAGGTGAAGCGTTATCAGATAATTAATACTAAAAAGAACATCAGCTTACTCTGAACAATATTTACTTAGGCAACTCTAATTCATTATAATTTACTGTCAGAAGGCTTCAGCTGACAGTAGTTTTAAATCAGGTTAGTTCATTACTGCAGTCGCTGCTAGATACTGTTCACTATTCTTGATGACAACCACTGGATTGGTAAACTAAGAACTAGGACTGACAGCATATTCTGCTTCACTCCTCCACTGAATTGGAAGTGTATCATAGGTCGTTCATGAGTTGACTGTTCAATGCAATAAACTTTGAAATTACCAAGTAAAGCTCAGAGTGCTTGAGTTTTTGCAACACATATAATAACAACACAGATATTTCACTAAACTGGCTTCATTAAAAAATACACGTACAGTTAATAGCCACAATAGAATACCCTTAGTATTTGGAATAAGAAGTTCAGAGAGATAGCTTCTTTAGATGTACTTTATGTATACCAGCAGTGGATCCGATTTATTTCCCCACTGATTTTATTGAGAAATCATATCATATCGAGGCATCCGCATAGGAGCCCATATGCCAACAGAGACTGATCAATTCGGTCCTATCAACGACGATGTAATACAAGCAATAACACTAAAACCTATACCCGTTGCACAAGAAGTGACTATCGTGGCTCGGTGGTGAAGTGGATAATGCTCTCGTGTTTGAAGCAATCGCTCCCAAGTCCGAGTCCTGGTGGGAACAACATCACTCACTGGGAAGCAGGTACATCCAGCTGACGAGTCCCAAATAAGACGAAATGTGCATCCTGGATTCCACTGCTAGCCACTGCCCATCATTACTAAAATGATATCACTGCTAAAAATCTACTTCTAAACAAATATGTCCGAGTTTTTTTTAGTTGTGTAGACCCTTGTATTTCAACCCTTTCTTAGTTATTTTGGACCAGGATTTTTTTGTTCGATAACAGTGCATTAGATGATATAACGAGGCAAAGTGAATGATTACTCTTTGTTATGAAATAAACCTTGAAAAGATACTTTTTGTTCTATTCAATTTTATTTTGCCTCCTAGAAAGTTTACCGTGGAGTGGAAACTATGTGCACAGTAGAAGGCTTACATTTTCGATCTATCTATCGTGCACGAGTGAAGGCGCACAATCAAGCTGGTGAAAGTCAGTACAGTGATCGAATATGCCTACAAACATCAGACTGTAAGTATCAAAACATATAAGTAAATTAAAATTTATTCTATATAATTGATTACCTTTCCCAATTTCAGAAAAGTTATCATAGTTACCATATTTCTTCTGGTTAATCCATCAACAGGAATTTCAGTACCTTAATTTCTAGTTCACTGACATTTATTCGTAACGTAAATCCATAACATAACCTTTTGAAACTGTTTTGTCTCTTCTCTAAAGTGACCTTGTATCATTCATTACTGCTGAAGTCAGCAAATTTACAGTTAGACCGTTCAGGTTATACATGACTCCTTTGTGTACGCATCTTAGTTATCACGTAATACAAACGAATTATATTCTGTTAGAAGATAAGATAAATAGCTTTTCAAAATAGAATTTATTCATACTGTCTTGTCACTTATCAGACCATAAAATGTTTCCTTTAACATTTCAGAAAATTTAACTTTACAGCTTAATAATTAAAACAATCTGCTTTACATTTCCGTTTCTTGTTTCAATGATTTTTCCCACGTATTTTTTTTAAAGATTACTTTTTAGCTATTTAATCGTTTTAAACTCATATGTTGTACATTGAACACAGAGTATGTGCACCAAATAAGTTTATTATTATTATTATTACTCTAATAGGGAACAAGTCAACTCAACGAGTATAAACGACATATTTTCATATAAAAAACTTTTTATTTGAATACATGGTTAATTTATGTGAAGTAATTTTTTAGTTGAATCTATCTCAAAATAAACGCCAACATATAATGCATGTTAGCCTAATAATTTGAAAATTAGTTATAATTAGTAAGTGGAATAGGAGTTGGTTAGAGAATAGAAAAAACCTTTTAAAAACCATGTACAAATTGGTAATTGTTTTATTATTTCCTTTCAAATATACAAGTATTCACTGGTGTATGTAATCGGAATCAAACATCTTACAACATTTAGTAATGATGAGCAGTGGCTAGCAGTAGAATCCAGGACGAGTCCGAAATAGGATGAAGTGCGCATCTTGGATTCTTTTGCTAGCCACTGCCCATCATTACTAAACATAATTAAAAGACAGGCAATATCGAGGTATCCGCATAGGAGCCCATATGCCAACAGAGACTGATCAATTCAGTCCAATCAACGACGATGTAATATAAGCAATAACATTTTACAACATTATTCTAATTATTCATCCTGATGTGAATAGGAAATTATGTCTAACTTCTTCTTAATTTAAGGAAGAAAGATGAATGCAAACTCTTCTTACTTTCTCAAATACACCGTTGAATGACAGAATATCATCCATTTTAAATATTCATGTTTGAGGTTGAACAGTGGTTCTATGATATAATCTTAAACACAACAGATGATTTCTGATGGGATTGATATCGATAGATGAAAAGGTTAATTACTTTCACGGTATCATGATGGTATTCATCATGGACTGATGTCAGTGGGAGGAATATTGGGAATTTCAGAGCAAACCTATTACTCTGCCAAAGATAGAACCCAGAACCTTCAAGTTCTGCGGTGAGCACGTGACCATTGAGTCACTGGAAATAATGGTACACTGAAAAAATGATTAAATTATGTTTACTGCTTACTATGAAGAGGTTTATCAACGTCTTTCCATCGAAATATATATGATATATGAGGGTGCAAAATGGCTTTTATGAAGCCTGAATGCCTGAGCTGTTTACTGAGAAGTGTCATTTTTAGCTTACATTTGGTCTTTTCCCCAAAACTTCTTGTTATTATCATATGTCACTAAACTGTCCTCCATAACCTGGGAAGAGACCAAAGCTTACTACAATTTTGTTTGAAAGTGATGCTAAGAAATAGATTCTCATTTACCAAAAGGATTCCTAGGATACAACTATTATTCACTAAATGACACTTAAATAATAATGTCAAACATGAAAAAAGGAAGTTTTATGAATAACAATGAATCTGTTTCCATTCTAACCTTATGTTAAGTGGTTGAAGGTGACTGGTAGGTAGTCTGCAACCCAAGGTTCTTGCTTGCTTGTGGTCTTCAGTAAGTTCATGAGGCTTTGAACCTTCTGTAACTGAGGTGGCTTGGACATATGTTGTTTATACCGAGCCAAAACCTACCTTGGCGTACAACACTATGTGAAATAGAATTGGGCTGAAAAAAGGCTCATATTTGTAAGACCAAGACTTAACACCAGTGCATAAAGTCGCTGACTGTTGTTCTGAGACGTGTTGAGAAATGTAGCCTATCCAGTTGGAGTCCTCGAAATAAAAGGAATCAGTGGATGAGGACTTTTGGTAACATGTCTGAAAATCAGTCACAATGGTGCACATGTATTCATTGTTTCATATCTTCCAAAGATTCAAGATTTTCACAGACTTACATTTTCAAGTTGTTTCTCCTCCCACACACCATCTACTTAGATATCAGTCTTTTTCTATCCACTTATTCTTTGTGTACTACTGTAAGGTGCAGCAACTTGTGTGTAAGGTCCTATGGTGATTTTGTGTGTTATTGAGGGCATGGTCAAGGGCTTCCATAATAGAACAAAGCAACTATCCAGTACTACTAGGTTTTGAAAGGTCATCTAAACGATGTCAATTTATAGTGGATACCACCTTGAAATCAATCAATCTCCACAAACCTTCAAATTAAAATGAAACAAGACGGAATTAGTCACTTTGATAGTTAGATTGACCGCACTGTCCTTCTGAATGAAAAAATCTGGCTCAAATTGCTTTTTAACAATCATTTTTGCTAAGCTTAATATTTCTGACATTGTGTGTACGTTGATTATTTTGCAAGCACAAGAAGTACCAATCTGATGTCAAGTGAATATGGTTAGAATCGTGCTTTCTTACAGGTACAAGTTCTTCAGAATATGCTAATCGATGCCCTCCTATCAGTCCGCTAAAAGTTGTTGCTACCGTAAATGTATGTAGATTCATAAACGCTTTTGAAGGTGACATGAGCAATGTATTTATCTGATTCGGACTAGTTCAGTGGAGATGCGGTATTGTATACCGATATAAGTTTGGCTACAGAACAGCTTCTTCTCAGCCTTTCTTTAACTCTTGCGTCTATTTTCTCAAATATTGTATCTCTCTTGAATGTAAAGTGAATGTACTATCCTAATTAGCATTGTGTATTCATATTTTACGCAACCACTTAGACAGTCTACCTTGACTAGATCTTGGTAGAGACAAGATAGACTGGAATTTTACGTACTTTAATTGTTGATTAATTTCTCAGTTGATGTTTATAGTTCAGTTCAAATAGAATGAAAACCTGTTTTTGTAGCCTATCTACGTATTTAGTCACAAAGTTTAAATCCTAATTCTTAAGAAAATTGAAAATGGAATGAAGTTAGACAACTAGAATCTAGTTGGCTTTTTTTTACTTCACTTTTATACAAGAAAGTAACTTTGTAACTAAGAGAAAGTGGATTTTCGAAAGCTGAAAATGCTTTGAGAACATATACTTTTACTACAGACTCAAAACGTATCTCACTCTATTTTTAGCATTTCCAAAATAATGTTCCTGTTGAATTTTCTAAAAGTTTAGGAAAATAAAATTACACTTACTCTGTAATAAGAAATAATTTATATTGTAGTCTACTTAGTGCCTTGGGATAGAATTCAGGACATGCCTTTTATCCTATTTGGGATTTGTCAACTGTACATACCTGCACTCCAATGAATGTTGTTCCCACCGAGACTTGAACGTAGTACGCATGGCTTCAAATAACAAAGCGTTGTCCATTAGGTCACTGGGACACGGAAGCCACCACATATGCAACAAGTGATTTTACCTAGTATGGTAACGGGAAGTTAGTTCACAAAAGCATGAATTAATTCTCTGAGTTTTTTTTCAGTTCATGAAACCCAAAAGTTTAAACGTTCTCTGCCTTATTTATACAAAGTGCAAAATAAATGTGAAAAGAGGAACATTCCTATCGCTTTCATGCAATCTAAGAAGGAAAAATATGATTAAGTTTGATAAAGTAGGTATTTTGAGGGTAAGATCGATAACAATCATGGAATTTATATTGGATTTATTACCATACATTTAAGATTTATCACTGAACAAATATTCCATAGTTGTGAAAAAGGATTACTGTATAAAAAAGAGTAGAAGACATTTATCGAAATACAAAGATAGTTTACATAAATAGTAATAGTTATTCATTAGTCTTTGATAAAAGAATCAAGGAATAGCATGGCTTTGTAGAGCTAATCATAGAAACACTCACATCCACTAGCCGAGAACTATGGTGAATGACGCTTTAAGTACACTGGTTGGTCACTACAGAGTAACCGATTGCATATTGTTCAGTCGTATGTGATTATCTCATTCTATTGATCATTTTACAATATGGTCACCAAGCCAGGCGACTGACTATCATGGTGCCCTACCAAAGTTGCTCTGTCTAGCAAAGGACATAGTTATATATATATATATATATATATATATATATATATATATATATATATATATATATATATATATTTGAAAGAATTTATTCCACCACTGTCTTACTCAACAAAAACTTATCTCATTATAAGCTGATGAGATCTATGACAACCAGTTTAGCAAGCGCGAAAGTTTCTTATAACCTCATGATAAAACTAGGTTCATGTTTGGCTTAAAGAATGAAAACTGTATTTCCATGACTACAAAGGTTACTCTTTGGGTTTAGCTTCATCTAAAATAGAAAACAACTTCTATTTCAAGTACTTGTCTTATCTATAGATGGTTAAAGAAATTAATAAACTTAACATGGATTCATTCAAGTGCATTTAAATCTGAAAGTAAGTTAACTAAAGGTAAGTAAACACTCTCATAATGAGATGTTGGAAGTTTCTCAAGAAATAACACATGGATACAAAAACATATACAGACTTGTAAAAGAAAATAACTATATTTTCTCTCCTTTGTACCTATCTTGCAAACGAAAGTATTTTCATTTAAACAAATAAGTTGGTCCACTTATAATTTCGGGAAATAAGGAATAAACAGGCTCAGAAAGGAA